AAAAAAAAAATTGCAAAACCCCACGGACAAAAGCAGGAAGCGTGAAGCAGGGCAGAAGAAGGAATTCAAAATCAGTGAATTCATTCAAGTTCCGCATCGGAAAATTCGAGTACCGTAACATTTGACCGATTTTTATTCATTGCAGTGCCTCGCTAAAAATCCGCCGAAATCGATAAATTTCCATATTCAACGGATGTTTTCCAATCAGCAGATCAATGACGAAGTACTGATAGCATATAAATTTCTTTCCTTCAACACGATTCAAAGTAATTCAACGAACTTCACTACCAACATTTTTAAAAGCAAAAACAAATTTTTTGCTCAACATATATTTTTCCAAAACTGTTTCAATCGACATCCAAAGAACGTCGAAAAATATTCAATGTAGCGAAATCTGAAGTGTCAAGCTTTGCACAGTAGTTTTGATTACGAGACTGCTCTGAAATTCGGGCAAAAAATTTGCATCATTCCATCGGAAAATATTTAAACATGATCAGCTTCCAAGATTCTGATTTTCGGCGCAAAAAATTCTTTGAAACAAAACTTTGTCCAATTTAAACGCGACTGAATATCCGGGGTCGAAATGAAAAAAAATTCATTTTTTAACGAGAGTCTCTGAATGAATGGCCAAATTGAAAAAAAAAATCCAGCACCTGAAGACCTTCTGAATAGGTTTCCAACGTAAGAATCTCAGACGGTACCAGCTCACCTTCCAAGAATTTATGTACATATTTTTTTTTTTACAAAACCCAGTTTTGCTTCGAGATGATCATAATAAAAAATGGAATGGGCGGTAAATCTCGGGAGAAATGACCCACGATGCTTGCTGACAGTCTTGATTAGCACGTAAGTCAGACATCAAGAAACAAGGATGAAGGAAAAAGGAAAACCCTGTCGATCTGACACGCGTCATCGACGTCTGTCTTCTGACAAGGTGGCAACCACAAGAAATATATGTACATATGCTCGTATATACATATATACAAGCAGATGTTGCTTCCAACAACCACGTCCTTGGGGAAAGGAATGCTTTTTAGCAGCCATCACGATTTTGTGCGTCAAGTTCATTTCTTTCCTGAAGCTGAGATTTATTGGCATTGAGAGCGTAACATTGGAGGAAAAGGAGATTTTCCTCGTGAAGAATCGCATTCCTGACTGAATGGCAATCCTCCACATACTTTCTAAAATAAATTCATTAAACATTTTCAAATATTTTTGGAACAAATTTGTGAAGATTATACTATTCTACAGAGATTGTACATATAACATTCCAGTGCTTCCCACTGAAGTTCATTTCACCTGGAACTCCGCGGAGGAAATTCCCTCGTTTAATTTTTTTATGCGTTCCGAATTCTCCCTACATTCATGAAAAATTTACAAGTATTTCCGGACATACACATGAAGATGATACTATTTTTCAGAGATTATAGAACATTCGAGTTTTTTTTTCAATGAAGCTTATTCCACGCGGAATTTCGGCGAGGGGGAAATTCCTATATTTTAATTTATAAGGTGTTTATCGCCTTTAAAAAAAACCATTCAACCTCTGAAAAATGATGTCGTGATTGGTATCAATTTCAAAACGCAAACATTCCATTGGAAGTAACGCTGACGGAATATATATTCCATTTTTTTTAAATCCGTACACGAAATAATATAAATTTAAATTTAAATAGGTTTCGGTGCAGCAACTTCTGTTGAAAAAACATACTTAAATTTCGCTCTTTATAATACTTTTCCTACCGTGTTAAAAAGGGATCTCTCTTTTTACTATTTTTTCTTTTAACAGTGACTGGTCAGCTCCGGCGTCTCAACCAGGGCGAGCCCAGGGACGGTAGCGGCGGTCGCGGAGGCGGCACCTCATCCTGCATCTGAGGCGGCATGCCGCCGCCCGGTGGCGGCGGGCCTTGGTCGTACCTCAGCCCACCACGTGGCACCAAATTGCTCTTGCCCTGAGTCTCGTCGTCCAGGCCCGTCGGCGACGCATTCGACAGCAGGGACGCCGAATGACCGTGCTGACCTCGGGTCGGCGGTTGGACGTACAAATTCTGCGCAGAATAATTCGGTCTGGCGTCCGCGATGTCGATGAAGGGCGACGACGACTGGGCGCCTTGCGACGACTGCATTTGCTGGGCACATTCTTGAAAAAAAAAAGAAGGACAAAACGCATATGAATCATCCATTAGAATTATTATCGAATCATCAAATGCAAATTCATCGAAGAGTCCTCGACAAACAGTCGCCAACCCTCACGAATAGCACACAACAAATAAATATATTGCGTGTCTTTCACGCAATATTTTAAGTGATTCATTTTTTTTAAAAATAAAATCAGATTGACAACTTCGTTTCTCAATCATTGAAACCCATATCCGATGGCATTAACTCATGCGGTGGAAATTCAACCCTCATGAAACTTAATGGATAAAATCAACATTTCCGCAGAATCGAAACCGGATGTTTTTCCAGTTCCATCGCAGCAGTTGCAGTGAATAAAATTACGAATACCGAGATTCAAAAACTTTCCCGCGACGTATTTTTCAATGAAAAAAACAAAGACTGACTGAGTAGACATGAAACTTGCGGAAACAACAATTCGGAGAAAAACCTGAGAATCTCGCAAGTTTTTCTCCGGAAACGTCGACATGGATTTTCCTTAGCATACTTTTTGAATTTCAATCATGAAATTTCCATTTTATCTTTTCAACTGATCACATCTTGATTCTTCGAGCCTGTAAACTTTTTCGGGTTTCTTTTCATGAAAAAACGGGACAAGAAAATAAGGGTGATGAGAACTTTGTGGGGGTCGATGGAAAAAAAAGCTGAGCTCAACATAATTTCAGGAGTACATTAATCGAATTGATTTCGAAAATCATTCATCAGAATAAATGTTTTCACGTTCAAAATGTTTTTTTTTTCCTTGAATACGTAATACGTATTGAAAATCGTGGATGATAAGAGTAAATTTACGTAGGCAGTTAATCCGAAATAATTGAATCGATTGGAAAGTTTCGTGACTTAGTTCATTAAAAGAGTCAATACATCCATTTAATCATCAAACTTCCCTTCGTGGCGAACACATTATCCGCATATAATCTTGATCAAGTCTAAGGCAACAAAACAAGATCAGACCAGGATTAATCAAATTAATTCCAAAGTCACCCACCAGAAACTTCAATGCACACAAGTCATGACCCAACTTCAAACGAAGTCGCAAAAAGAAAAAGCGTCACATGGAATCTTTCGAATATGTGAATCAGCAAAAAACGTAGCTAAAGCCCCAGTCAAAGAATAATCGAATTGATTCAGCAGCTTCGATATTAATTCATCAAAAAGTTTCAATACATCCATTTCGTGATCAAACTCTCGAGGACGCGTGGATGAGTAACTCAGTTGGGCGGAAAAGACGGCTGGTGGTAACTCAATGTTGGGTCAGCATAAAATAAATGTCCCATGCTCTTCGGGGTAAAAAAAAAAAAAAACCTGTCTGTCGTACACAGGTTCGTGTTCTTTCGTTTGGCAGGACTAAAAGCAAAAATCCGACGCCTACGAGACCGGAATACTGACCGACAACGACGATCGCGTAATTTGGCTGCGGAAAAAAAAAAAAAACCCTGTCAGGGGAAACTCTTCTCACACAGACGACCCTTACATCTCTCTTGGAAGTAAGTGTACTGTACTCTGCCGACATTATGAATCAGCAGAACATCAGTTGAGTGCATCTTACAAGACCTTCTCCCACACTACACACTATACAGAGAGTCTCGTTTCCTCTTGTGGCGTTTATACAGTCGGGTTGAGTAGTGGTGAGAGGAATGGCTGTCGAGTTGACTCAATGGAAAGGACAGGTAGTGAGGCTATTTTACCCCTAAGCGTTCTCTTTTACGCCGGAAGTGCGTCTCACTTGTCACTATGCCTTACATCAAGTTTTGGCGAACTTCGGAGCATATATCACATCATCAACTGGATATATATTCGTTCAACAAATTTTTTCTCGTCAATTAAAGTGGGACCCCGAGATGCGGAAATAATTGGTGCATGAACCTTTCCCCCAACATAGACGTCCATGGGAATATTTTCATTACTTTTCCAGAGAATTAGAGGACAGAAAGCCATCGGTAGTTTTTCCTTCAAAGTAATTTTTTATCATTGGGGAGAAAAAAAAAACTTGAAATAATTTATCTGGGCTGGATATTTTTGTTGACAAATAATTTTATTTCCGATAACGATTTTGCGGAAATATGCGGAATTACATAAAATATTATTTTCAAAAGCATGATAATTTGTATCCATTTCCGAAATGAAAGGCCAAAATATATGATTTCCGATAGAAATGAACTTTTTTCGATAAGATTCCGTCTTCAAAAAAGCAATTATTTGAAAGATAAATGTATACTGAGATCAATAATTATGAAAACAAAAAATAAAAACAAAACTGAATAAAATAATTGTTCTGAAGTTCAAGATGCAGAAAATAAATGTACAGAAGAAAACCACACAGAATCTGATCTTTTGGCATCAGAATAGACCCAAGTAAAATTCTTGCTGTACTAAACACACATGATGAAAAAAATAAGCAAAAATTTAGCATATTTCTGATCATGAATTACAGTAGTTTAATTCATGATGAAATTCATTTTTAGCATTTGTACCTGTATTTTTCAAGAAATACAAACATTTAGGTAATGAAATTTTCACAATTTTTGTCAGAAATATTGGGAAAGTGTCCGTAATTCGATTCACAGTACGGACGTCGGGGAAAGATTTGTTCACTTTCAAGTGTCACTAAGTGGAATTGTCCGTATGTTGGGGTCCCATTACTTGTAATTTCTACGTAAAAGGGCGAATCGAAACTTCCGTTGGTGCATTGCATTTTAATTCGTTAGGTGTCGGTTTCTAATTAAAATCTTTCGAATCAAAACACTCGAAGAACACAAACTTTGATCAGCCAAGAGTTTTATTCAAATGCGAGAAACTCCTTGTTCATCAATTGGCAGTTCAAAGGAAATTCGTCGTCGGAGTTACAAATATTGCCAAGAAGCTTTTTCCATTGGAATATTGTCGTCGGATTTCGTAGACTTTCGTGGAGAAAATGTCGAATGATTCGGACTACTGAAGAAAAATACAGAAGTGTAAAGATAAACCTTCTTTCCTGAAGGTCATGAATCAAAAACTTTCTATCGTCTCTCTGATTTCATCTCACCACGAAATTATCAAAAAGGGCTCCTTGAAATCAAAAAAGCTACTTATCTTCAATAAAACTTGCACAGGAGAAACCAAAAGAGTGAAAAAACACTTTTAAAATAGCCATGGAATGGCGCCATTTCGGATTAAACATGTATTACGGCTCTTACTGAAGCTTTTTCTCCCAGAAATACTGGAGTAGGTCAAAAGGTCACTGCTATATTTTTTCGAGAAAGCTCATCTGCAAACGTTTATAAATAAATTTGCAGCGAGTCAAACTATCTTTTTTTTTTTTTAGCTCAACTGCGAGGAAAACGGTGCTAAAGGAAATTCGAAAAAATAGCTCAATCCGACCCTAATCTCTTTTTTAAATGTAAGTAGCGACTATCGTTTGGAATTGAATTTTTTTAGTCCAAGGTATGCCAGGACGAAAATACAGAACAACTATAATATATTGTCAAAAAAATGGTTTCTCGACGTCAAACGAACGAATGATGCTCGAAGCCATTTTATTCGACGGCAAAAAATTTAGGCTTGAAAGTCTGATATAAAATGGACATCATTTATGTAAAAAGACTAGTACGAGCGTTTTTTTTTTTACCCAATTTTACCCAACAGGTTTGAATGTCCATGTTTTTGATCCAGAAGGCTTCATGGCACTCGAATTATTCAATTTGAAAGTTTGAAGCATTCTTGAAAAAGGTGAACTTCAGACAAATTCAAAAAATCCAAAAACATTACTCCAATATCAAGGCTTAGTACCGTGATTTGAAAATGTCAGCCTACCAAAGTTTTGCAGCACAGAATAAACATAACGCGTCAGTTTCCGGCGAATCTTGACGCTCAGTAATTGATTCAAAATTCCGAAAGAACAAGAACTTGAATAAAGCATAAGCTTTCAACAAAATCTTCTTGAATTTTCCACTGGGCACTTCAAAATATCTTCCCGAGGTTTTGAAACTTCGGGACTAAATAATAAACAGCTAGCAAGGATTAAAACCGAAGAAAAAAAATCTTATTTCCTAGATATAGTGGAATATCTTTTTTAAAAATTATAAAGCTGGGCTTGAAGAAAGTTTTCTCACGATGGAAACTTGAAATAATTTATTTCAGCAGGTTAACATTAGTTCAAAGTGTTATTAGTAGAAAAACCAACATTTATTTTTCTTCAGATAAATTTCAACTGCCATCCAGGGTCTTTCAAAAATTTCAGATGAACATATTACAAACTGTATTACTACTTTATTATGCTGAAGAAATGTTTCAGCCCACGGGTTCCAGACCACAGATTTTGACAATTGTCAGAAAAATGCCGTTGTGGCACCAAATTGTCGTGTCCTCCAACAGAGGCCCTTAAAAAAATTTAGATTGAAAGGTGCCTCCTCACTGGGGCTCCGCGGAGCACAGATTAACAACTTTCGCATTACCATATGCAGTAAAGTTCCGTTACAACGAATCTCGTTTCGACGAATTTTTCATCAAGCCGAATTTTTTCTTGGGTCCTGGCAGTTTTCCCTTGGGCGCCATTTTATAAAAATATTATTTTAACGAACTCCTTTTTAGGCTGTAATTTCAGTATAACGACTTCGTGGCCCTGATTTCATGCATAGGCCGCAGGGATCATTCAAAAAATGGCTGAGATTGGAAAAAATTGAAATTGAGAAAAATTCAAACTTCTTCCAAGAACCAAAAAACGTTTTGCAGAGAAACGATAGTGTTCAAAAAAATACTCAACATAACACATTTCTTGGGAAATCAATCAAAAATGTAGTAAAAACCATGAAACTCATTACAACAAATTTATGTTTAAAACGAATTCGTAATCGGGTCCCTGGGAATTCGTTGTAAGGAAATTGTACTGTACATCGAAAAAATCTCGAAATTTTTGGAGGGGGGAGGGAAGGTCGTTGGGAACATATTTTTGGCCAAATCAAATTCATGGCACGCCATTCATAGTCAGGTCTCAGATTAAAGATCCACGGAAGGAAATTATGCGCCAAGATCAAAGGCCCGAGTCAGGACCTGCTGTGGCAGCCAGCAGCAAGCCGCGCCTTTGGGTTGAAAGAGCTCACGTGCCTAACTTTACGTTTAGCCTTTACGCTCGTATGCCGGCAAGGGATGCACGGAGCGTTGAGGCGTATTTTCTTATTGACGAGAGAAAAAAAAAACACGCGAGAAAACCTGTTCTATTTTATTGTGCACGAAAAGAGGGGTGTCACGAAAGTTGACGCAGTTGGGCTGCCATTTCATCAGAAATATAAAATATTTAGGCAAGATGTTCAAGAAACATTCCTCCTTCCGCTTCAGCATCCATTATTCGACCAAATTATTATTTTGAAGACGGACTGTACTCGAAAAATAATGAGGCTATCTTCGGCCTGCCATTTCAGAAGCTAAAACAAAATATGCGGATTTTGTTCTTCGCGAGAAAAAGTGCCGATTTCCCTTAACCGTATTCGAGTTCCATTCGACAGTAATGCTATTTTTGAAATAATAAAAAATTATTCTGAAGGAAAAAAATACAGATGGCTTTCTGTCCTCTGCTTCAGCATACATTCATCTTTCGGATAAATACTTTTATGAAGACATCGAGGAATCTAATAAAAAAAAGTACATTTCTACATCTGTTTTGGCCTTTCTTTTCGGAAATATGAGATGAAAATTACTGTATCATGCTTTCGAAAGTAATATTTGATTTAATTACCCATATTTCCGCACAATCGTTATCGGAAATAAAATAATTACTCAACAAAAATATCCAGCCCTTTCCTTCCGGCAATCAGTTCAAAAGCCAAAATTTCCCTGGAAAAGATTTATCCTGTAATTATTCTTTTATTAAATCTAAATAAAGTTGATATGTAGAAAATTGGGCTATCCACAGTTTCCCGAAAAAATAGCCCCGCAACATTATCTTTCTAAAATGGCAGCCGAATGTGGAAAGTTCAAGACTGCCCCTGGAAGGAGGCGAAGGGGGATGTGAGGGAAATTCTACCCCTGTTCGTTTTGTTTTTTAATATTTATTATACTGTATTCGCTGTTTTTTTCTGGATAAAAATTCTCCAGAGACTAGTAGAGAGGATATGGAGATCAAAGCCGGCCTCATTTCTGAGAGCAACTCATTCTGCTGTCGCTTCCGAAGTTTTGCGCGCGGAAAGAGTTTGGAGAAATTTGCACGCCCCAAACACACCTCAAACTCTGCATGGCTACACGGATTTCTTCCTCGTGTCGCGCAAATTTTGCTTTGCTATTTGATTCATACACTTCGTCTATGAAAGGCATTTATGACAAAATTAGGCGTGTTTGATTTTATTGGATGATTCGGAAACAAGAACAAAAAACTCTCGAGCTGTCCGACTTTTTTTTCCATCACTGCAGCATCTTCATTTTTCACACTTCCAAAACTTCTTTTAGAGATTTGAACACATGCCTGGGCTCTGTTGATCGAAGATTTTCAGTAGCACAGGAATATATCTTCTATTGCACTCGTTTTTATTGAAAATTGACATTTCTACCGCGATCGATTCCACATAAAAACATTCCTTTCTCGACATAACTATGCGCAGAAGGGGTTTTCCCAAATTCCAAAACACTATGTTGTGCCAGATAATATTGGAAGATCAATTTGGAAATTGCATTGATGAGTCAATATTCCGATTTTTTCCTTATTCCACCTCTTATGGTGAAATGTGGAATCGACAGGATAAAAAAATTAACATTTATTCCAGTTTCTAAAATATCTGGAAGTTTCTTCCGGATATTTTTCTAGACTATGCAAATTTGACTTGGGTGAAATATGGGACTGCTCGAATAAAATGACGCTTGTCTGAAATTTTCAACGACTTTTGGTCCGCAAAATAGGTATGCTAGAATTTCACAGCTTCAAAAATCCTAGCTTTCATGGTATTTACTTCGAAACATTTCTGAATGGTTTGGATTCACATAATTTTGATGCGATACTTCATCGCATTTCCAGCAGAAAAAGGCTGCATAATGAAAACAGAGCCTATAAAAAAACTTCAAATAATTCATTGGAAGCAGGGGCTGAGGGATGTTCATTCAAATATTTATCAATTCTCCAGATTTTACAAACATTACGAAAGTTCGTATAAGTTATAGGAAGTGTGTGATGATTTCATGCCAATTTTGTCTTCCGTGTTCCTAAAGCTTTACAGCTCGAACTTTCGACAACTCCTTCACGGTGAGCAAGCGATCATATCAAATAAATTTTTAAACAAGGAATTTAAATTTGTAATTTTACTCTGAGTTTGACGATGAATTTCTCGCTTATTCGGAGGATTTTAATTTACAAACAGACAACTACAGATTTTATTGTCGAGGTGATGTACGAATAAAATTGTTTGCTTCATTCATCCTCATCAAGTACCGACATTTTCGAAGAATAAAAGCAGCGATTTTCAAGGATGCGTTTCCAAGATTCAAGAGTCACTAGGAAGTGGATGTAAATTTCGAGGTCATTTTAGCAGAATACATCATTTCCCTGACGTTTCACTGCTGAAAATTTTTGAGTAGTGTTTTCACAATGCGGAAGAAAAAGAAAAAAATAATGCATTCAAGCGACTTGAACACTGGTGAATATTTTCCAACCAGCTGCAAAATTCGGCACGTTGCGAAGAAAATGAACCGTTTTCCGCGAAAATGCGGCCCACGTATTTTGTTTCTGCGTTGATGAGAAAAACCCGGGTGGTCTTCGAAATCGAATCACGCGTGTTTTCTATTATACAGTATTGCACAAACGTGGGTTTACCAGTCGAACAAACTCGGGAGTTGTACGGAAAAGCGATTCAATTGTCGAGCCGAGATTTCGGACCACAAATTAACGCGCGGTTCGTCGGATAACGAGACCGGAAGGGTTTTCCTTATCCACGCACCCTAATGAGATCGAATGGGTTCCTTCTCGATCCGGGCTCCCCTGAAAGAGACGGAGATAAAAGCAAAGGATGCTTTACATGTGACGAGAAGGAAGGGGGGGGGGGGGCGAAATGCAAACCCCGACCCGACCCGAAAGCCGGGATTTCGGCTCAGTAATTGAACCCCTCCCGACACCCCCCCCCCCCCGAGAGCAAATTGCGAGACTGAACCGAGTTTCACTGAGTTTCCGGTCTGCGTTTGATCGCTGTTATTACAGCAAATCGGAAATACAGAGAGCTAGGGTATTGTGTTTTACAGTATATGGATCCCATCAAAAACGCCGGGGGCTATGGTTCACTACGCGTACCCTATTATTGGTGTCCGTTGTTCGAGAGGTAGGCACACGATTTTAATTGAAATCGTCTTCAAAAGCCTAGAGAATTTTATTGGTCGAGAGTCAGACGATAGATTTCAGCATTCTAAGAAAATTTGTGAAGTATTTTCTGATTCTTCATCGACAATTTATTTAAGGTTTACTTGGGATACTTTTGGAACCGCAATCCATTCACGGACTTTCATTAATACAGGATTATAAAGCTCTGACTAATGTTTGTATTTGAACTTTTCATGCTCTGTATCCTCAGGCATTCAACAAGCAGAAAGCTCAAGGATTAGTAAAAACGGCAGACGAGAATCCAGAAAAAGTGACACTAATTTTAGTAACAAAGTTCTTCCCGGATTTAGACACATACACACGCTAAAAACCCTGGAAATGTATCCTGTACCCCACATTCTTCTTGACAGGGGAACCCAAAAAAAAAAAAAAGTGGTGATCATATTTATTTCGTGCCAGTCCAGGTCAGGATACACGCCGCTTCATGCGAACCTCTAATCAAAGATTTGCGTTCAACGTTTACGACCATGCCTATAAACTTCGTTTGCATCTTGAAGTGAAGATGATGAAAAAAAATACAGTAATTGAACATTTCAAAATACTTCCCATGAGCCCCGAGAAACGCGCATATGAGAAAAGAAGGGCTTGGCCCGCGATGCAATAAATCACTGTGTCGCTTTGAGGAACTCGGTTGAACAGCAATCTCGTTTCTAACCCCGGGATGGGATCGCGAATGAAGGTGAATCATGTTTATTCAGTGATCGACACGACCTGGCTTACATTTTAGCTGCCAGCCTGATTAAAAAAGTAAACAAAACCGAAACAGCAATGGGATGATTCAGATATTTAAAATAAATCTGCGAGTTTCTGATGTGTTGCAGCCTTCAGGGACGGAGAAGAATTTTGCGGAATATTTTACAACCTACTGCTTTTGCGTGCACACAAAAAAATAATTGCAATGATTTTACCCAAAAGGCATCTCGATTATTTTCAGAAATCATAAATTACAGACCCGACAGGAGAAATTAGATTCCCTACGACTTGATAAATGTCGACAAACTTTCGTTCCTGAAAAACAAAACAAAAAAGCAGCTTCGTCTCACAAAATTCTCGAAGAAAAATTACGGGTTACATATAAATATTTATTGAGGTTTGATTTGAGAAAGTATTCTCAGATCATTTTCTGTTTTTTTTTTTTTAGCACCGTTGGATTTCTGCCGAAGGATGAATTATTCGACGAATATTTGCACATTTATGTTGAAATTAAGAGTTGGAAGGGCACACCATCACTTGAAGGAAATCTTTCATGGATTTGTCAGCAATTCAAATGTTACTGAGTGTTTAAAATTATTGAATTACTTTCCAAACGACAATTCCCTTGATTTCATAATCAAATTCCAAAGATCATAGAAGGCTTCCGAACTCCGCGATTTCTGTGCTGCTGAATCTGATTGCGCGAATTTCTTTGAAGTTTATATCAGCAAATCAAAGCTGCACTTGAAGATCATCGGCTGATTAAAAAAAAAATTGCTGACAATTTTGACCGTGTTTCACACAACACTTTGAATCTATTACACTCAGAAACATCTGAAATCAAAAAATAAAATTATTTTATACGATGGAAATATATAAATTCTGATTCAGTAGATTAGAAACGTTAATTCTTCTTCAGAAAACATGACAAATAAATCTCAGGAAGGAATGAGTGCAGGTTATTCTTTGATGCTTCAATTTCATTTCGCATACTGCTCTTGCAATTATTTTGAAGTACGCGCTCAATAATTGGTGGAAGTGACAAAGATTTAATTCAAACATTCTCGTGTTTTTCCGACGCCGCGGTCACACTTCACTCTTAATTGCATCATTGGCGCATACAGGAATGAGGGATGCAAAAACAAAAAACAAAAACAGATGTATGTTTTAGATTTGAATGGGGTTCATTTTTGTGCGACTTCTCACCTTTTTGATTTTCATACTGGTTCGCAGTCGACAGGGCGGGTGTGGGTGACGGCTTGTCGCGCCTGACGATGAGATGGAGCTTGTCCTTGGCGCTGTCGACGAGTTTCCGAGCTTCCTTAAGCGTCATGTTCTCTGTCGAGTGAGCGTTGATCTTCGTCAGCACGTCACCTTCCCGCAGGCCACCTTCCTTGTCCGCTATGCTCCGGGGAAGCACCTCTTTCACGTAGATTTTGCAGCCCAACACGACGCCGAAATCTGCAACAGGGAAACATCCCACACCAATCAACATCGGCACAAATGTGAACCCGAGAGAAAATTATCAAGCTAGCAAAAAAAAAATACATTGAGAATTTTAAATCGTTTAACATTTTCAAGGGCCTAGATCGAAATCACTCAAATGCGCCGAATGGGGTTGCATTTTTTTTTTTTCAAGATGTAAATGTCTTACCACTATATCCAAATTTATTTTGTGAGATATTTTCAAACTATGAAAAAATGAGACCCCATCAAAAACTCAAAACTCATCGCTTATTTTTTCAAGTACCCTCTTTCGATCACTCTGGTTCGGGCCCCCTGAGATTTTCAGCACCCCGATTTCACATGGATTTTTCCAGTCCTTCAAGACGCCGAAATCCGAGCGAAATAATCAAAGAAAATAACATTAGCACAGATGTGTACACGAGGAAACCCCCAGGTCAAGTTGTCAACAATATAAGGAAAATTTTAGATTTTTCAACCTGTAAACTACTGTACAGTATTTTTTTTTATCAAGTTACCAATTTTAGCACCGCTTGAATGCGTCAAACGATTTTCATTTTTGGAAGTTGTAAATTTCCTACCAGTATCTGGGTTTGCGTGTGAGATTTTTTTTCATCTTTAAGTTGATTCATGATTCGGACAGAGATTTTTTAAAACTTTTAACACTGTCGCAAAATCTTTTGTAAAAAAAAAAAAAACCCCGACGCCAAAATGAGGCTTTTGTCAATCAAAGCAGTTCATCATGGTGACAGTGAATGAAGCATAACAAATGCCACCATGAAATGTTAAATTGGCAGTCGTAGAAATTTGCAACTTATATTTCCGGGTTCTGTTTGCGATGAAGAGCTTCATTGATTGAACGTGCAGTAAATCAGGTCATGAACCACACGATTATTTCCGCGCAGATACTGCATACATGCATACATTTATACGGAAAACATCGGATTTCGAAACAGATGCATCCCAGAAACTCGGAACTTGGATGAGAGCTGCCGTCGTGGAAATCAACTCCACACCAACGAATTTCGATTATTCCGCGATGCAAAAAGGAAATCCACATCAAAGGCATGAATTCGAAATTAAAGCAATCTGGATTGAAGGACCTCATCTCGCTAAAAATCCGCTTTCGGGTCTCAATTTCCGTGATTAATGCGCTCTGGAAACGAAAGCCAAAATCCTCTCCCTTTTTTTTCTTTTTACATATTTTTCTATCGCATCTCCCCTCTTCTGACTTCAGACTAGCATCGTACTTGGAAAGGATGATCGTTTCTGTAATTCATCTTATCCATCATTCCCTTCCCCTGTCTCCCTTTTTTTCTGAGGGAAAAGCGAATCAACTTGATACTCCGTCAATTTGCAGCCCTTTGCTTGAGCGAATTCGATCAAAAGTTCTCCCGGGTGCGCTTGAAAGCCCTGAAAATTGCTTCCCTTCATGCGGGCACCAAGAGGAGAAAAGCCATCGACGAAATTTTCATCAGACGGGTCCCCCGGTAACCTAGAATAAATCAACGCCGTCAATTGCCTCCCATCAACATGCAATATTCAAACCCGGGTGCGATTTTCCGCCTTTCCATCCACTCCCAATTTTCAGGCACATGATCGGCTATAGGAACCAATAGCGGGGTTTAACCCATGTTTTAACGAAAAAAAATTAAAGAGAATAATGGTACTAGGAGGAAATTAATTTTATCGCATGTCTGCAGGCTCATTAATTATCTCGCATCTGTTGTGCCTAGAATGAGAGGCTACACACAATTGTAAGCTAATGGT